CCCCAAAACCCCAAAACCCCAAAACCCCAAAACCCCTGGACCGCTAAAAGATTTATAATAAATATGTCTTGTACCTGTTACTGAACTACTTTTGGAGGTAAGCCCTCTTGGCTCATAAATTGTGTTAACCACTTGTTATAGTCATTGTTGTCACCTTCTATGCTATACTGATTTACATCTCAGAATCAACAAGGCTCTCAGGAACTTTTCAGATAAGATCTAGCTTTGATGGGAACGCAGATGTGTTTGAAGAGGTCACAGGAGTGTATAGGATCTATGCCGAGAATAAATTGGCTGGAGCTTATGCCAATGGATATACTACTGCTTCTAACAGGCTTTGGCAGATGGAATACCTAAGAAGACTTGCTCAAGGAAGGCTAAGCGAGATCTTTGGTCAATCAACAGTGCCAATTGATGAAGGATTTAGGTAAGATATGGAGAAGATTAATTTAGAATTCTTGGATTCACAAGCGTTTGTGAAGAAGAACTTGAGTATCTGGAAGATTACAATAAAGAATTCTTCGATGCTTACTTCCAAGGAGTGAACGATTACGCCCACACTCATTCGAGTCCCCTCCAATTTCATTTTTTCGGAATCAATTATGAGAACTACACAATTGTGGATTCTTGCACTCTCACAAAGCTAATGGGGTTCATGCTTTCAGGAAATTGGGGAGACGAGGTAGTAAGAGATTACCTGAGTGCTATTACTCAGGATGAAGAGCTTGTGCAAGGTCTCTACTCATATTCAGATTCCCAATTTGATGAATTTTCGACTACTATTCTAAATGAGCAGGAACTAATTGACATTGGATTGAATACTTCAGAAAAACTCCCTCAAGTAGAAAATTTACTCAAAGGAAATATCACTAATTATGTCGATGAAGTTGTCTCTGAAATGATTGAGGAAATTGAGAGTGTCAAGTTTGATGGAAGCAATGCTTGGGTAATCAGCGGAGAGCATACTGAGACAGGCATGCCAATTATTTCCAACGATCCACATCTTGGAAATTCATTACCATCCATTTGGTATTATTCGCACATTGAATATCCAGATGGCACATTCATCAGTGGAGCAACTGTACCTGGATTGCCATTTTTTGCAATATTCACCACTGAGAAAATAGGTAATATTTTGTTCTAAATCTAGCTTTCACAATTACTGCAATCGCTGCTGATTCGAGTGATGTGTACAAAGAAAAAATCAAAAAGAACAAGTATGAGTACGAAGGAAAGCTATACCCTCTCAATGTGAGAAAAGAAATCATCAAAGTTAAGAACAGTAATAGCATGTAAGCTTTTGGATCAGATACTAGCTTTAAAATTATTTAGATTTCTAAGAAAATTTTTTACTTGATTGTGTTTTGGCTAATTTTTTTAGTCTAATAAGCCAAGATATATTTTGTTTTATTTCAAATCCCATAGCCAATCAATAGAGTTTGTAAAGGATTTATAGATACAATTACGAAATATCTTGATTTATTTATGGGATAAATGCAATCCTTAGTGATGAATTAAGATTAAAATTTATAAAGAAACTCTGCTTGCATTTAAAATTATTGTTGCTTTATTTCAAAATATATCTCAACAAAATAGGAATCATAACTTATTGCAACATTAACACCATGTTTATAGAGTTCTGAAGGTAAAAAGTACAAGGCATGGACCACTTCTCAATCCAAAAAGCATAGAAGCACTGAATAATGTTGCCAAAGGAGCTCCAATTAAAATGCCAAAGGGAGATTACTCATACAAATGGGGAGGAATTATTCCACAAGATAATCAAGCTTTTAAGACATTGAGCATTATCAATGATGTCAAATCTGCAAAAGAACTGCTCAATATAATCAAGCAGTCTAATGGGGTCAACACTAATATTGTTTTTTGAGATGTATGCCTCTTCTTAAAATTTTAGAATCTTGGAGAGTATGGCAACATTGGATTCGCTCCATATGGATCTTATCCAAAAAGAACCAATGATGCAGGTAAGTCCTATTGCTACTTTGATAGGCCACAGGATCTCAAGAGGCTGGATCAATGAGAATGAGTGGGATGAATACATTCCAGGAGACGAGAAGCCGTACTTATTCAATCCAAAGAAAGGATATATTGTAATGGCCAATAATCCAATCAGTAATGCTAACACGAAAAGTCAAATTTCTACTCACAGCCTTGGTACTGCAAGAGCATACAGAATTACAGAGCTGATAGAGGATCTTATTAAGACCAAGAGTAAGCTTCTGGATATATTGTAGGTGGAAGCATTGGATACAAAGACATGATTAACATCCTCAGCGATGTAAAAGATCCATATGCTGAACAGAAGAAGCAATATTTTATCAACATCACCAGACAATATATGAAGAGTAAGCATACTAACAAAACTTGTAGAAAATAATATTGAGAACCAAGGGAAAGAAGAAATCATGGACATGCTCGACAAGTGGGATGGCACTTACAAGATGGACATGAAAGAGCCAGTTTACTTCACATTGTGGGAATTCGTATTTGCTTTGGATAACCTTGCATAGTTCTTCAGAAGTACTTTCATGACAGAGCAATTCAAAAATAATGAAGAAACTAAAGCTAAAATGTTCTCTAATGGGTATTTTGAAGGCAATTTCGTCCAACTCTTCAGAAATATTTCTTCAAATCCTGATCATTTTGGTAAGATACTCTGTTACTTTTAGCCAAATATTGCAGAAAATATGGAGTAATAGACTCTGAAAATTGTCCTCATTTGCTCTACCTTTCGCTAAACAATACAATCAAATATACTAGAGCTTTCCATAATAATAACACTGTGTGGGGAGATGTGCATACGATGAGATACCCGAACATTCCTTTCACTAAATCAATACTGAAGTGGTTCTTTGATAGAGAAGTTAGAGCTTCTGGCAGCTCTAACACAGTCAGTGTTGCAGGAATAAAATTTGGCAAGTTTGAAGGAAAGAATAATGAGAATATATGGAGTTTGTTATTTTCTCCAAAAAAAGAGTTTCCCTCTGCTCATTCTGGGAACCTGAAGTTTATCTCATTGATGAATGGCACAGTGTACTACTCTCTTGACACTGGAGTTAGCGAGAGCTTGTTCTCAGGTCTTTATTTCAATATGAATCCAAGACACATGATGAACAAACTTTTCAGAGGTATTATATTTTTAATTAATTTATAGCTGATTTCCCAAGAGAAGAAGATTTCCTCCCAATGGATATGGATCCAATGATAAGATTTGAGATCAGAAAAACAGATGCGAATGTACCTACTGAAGATCTTTAAAATTTATCATCAATTGTGATAATAAAGAACGGGGTTTTGGGGTTTTGGGGTTTTGGGGTTTTGGGTTTTGGGG